CCTTTGGTTTTCTCGAGAATCCGCCAGAGCGCGACCGCGCGCAATTTGCGAGAACGGACGTTGCGAAACCCTGTGTGTTTTGAATGTGGTTTGGACATTCGGTTTTGAGGTCGCTACGAAACCAGGCGTTGTTTAAAGGGTTCCGGCATGTGCGCGCGACGAAACGCGCTCGCACTTCGCCCCGTTGTGTTGCAATGGGTTCTCGCGACAACATGCGCGCAAAGGCGTTCTAACGCTTTCGACATGCGCGCGCGAAGCCCGTTTGGTACTTGCTGAAAGAAATGAAACCGATGGTTCCCTTGCGAATTCGCAAGATCGCGCACGTTTTTTTCTGTTGTCCCCCCCCCCCGCACCACTTATCGCGTTGCGAAAACATGTGGCTTTATATGTTTCTTGGACACTCGATTTTGAAATCCTCCCGAAGCCGAAGCTTTTTGAAAGATTTCGGCATGCGCGCGCGACGACGCGCGCGCGTGCACTTCGTCTCATTGTTCGCCAGATGGTGAAAGCTGATAGTTGTTGATAAACGAGTGCGCGCATAATCTTTTGTGCATGTGATGACGGGGGGGGGGGGGTCGATGCCGGCCTGGCTGCGGCCGTTTGAACTCATATTTGGCATGGGCGATGGGGCGGAACCACGTGTAAAGTGCAACGCAAAAAAAGAGTGGACCGACGAAGTCGGGGAGGGGAATCCTGGTTCTTGTTAGGAAGGATTTGTTTTAACATGCGATTTGACGCATCCCATGCTCTTGGAAACATCCCACCCACCCACCCGCAACTTGGTTTGCAAAGCCCATGCGGTGGCGATTGCGATGCGCGCGTGGCTTTGGCTGGTGCATCTCTGCAGCCGCGCCGACCCTGGCACGCGCGCGCAGCGGCCAGCTAGTTCAGCGCCACCGACGCGGCCGCGGCGGCGCTGACCGCCAGGCGCATCACAGCGGGCACTTCATTGCGAGTCGGCGACTTGGGCGGACGCGGTATCATGGCAACGCCGACAATTGTAGACGCGACGATGATAGTAGCGATGCTGGTGGCGATGTTCGCGCCGATGACGGCGCGGCCAGCGCGGGCGCCGATGCCGATCGCGCCCGCGACGATGACAGCGCCCTCGCGTTAGCGATGAAGGTTTTGGAAAGAGTTCGACATGCGCGCGCGGCCAACGCGCCAGAGTGGCCCGCGCGACACTGCTTGACGCGGATCGCGCCCCCCCCCCCCCAGCACGCGCGCAAGGACGCGCGAATGATGTCGGCATGCGGCGCCAGAGGCCCGCTTGGCAGAATTCCATGGACACGTTGAAAAACCGATGGTATTCTTAAGAATTCGCAAGAGCGCGCGCACGCTATTTTGAGACAACTGATGTTGCGACACCATGCGTCGTTGACTGTGTTTTGGACATTCGTTTTGAAATCGTTACGAAGCCAAAGAGGCTTTTGCAGGATTTCGGCATGCGCGCGCAACGACGCGCGCGCGTGCACTTCGTCTCATCTATTGCAAAAGACTCTCGTGACGGCATGCGCGAAAGGGCGTTCGAACGAATTCGATATGCGCGCGCGAAGCCCGTTTGCTAATATGTTCTGAACGCTTTAAACAACCGTTGGTTTCCTCATGTGTCCTTAGAATTCGCAAGAGCGTGCGTTGCGACACCATGTGTTTTTTTGTTAACTATATTTCTTTGCGCGATCGATTTTGACATCCTTCCGGGACCGAAGGTTTTTGCAAGATTTCGGCATGCGCGCGTGACGACGCGCGCGCGTGCACTTCGTCCCGTTTTTTGGCCGGGATTCTTGGAAACTGATGATTTGTGATGCACGAGCGCGCGCGCGCATTTTTTTCCAGAGGATGACGCGGGGGGGGGGGGGGCGATGCAGGTTGGGCCGGGATGGTATGAATTCATATTTCGGATGGACGGTGGGCCAGAATCATATCTAAATTGCAATACGAAAAATGGACCCGATAATCCTGGGGGGGAGAATCTATTCTCTGATTGTTAGAAAGAAGAATTAAGCAAAGCTCTGCTTGAAATTGCCCGCTCCACTGCTCGCGAAAACATCCCACCCGCCCACCCGCAACTTGGTTTGCAAATCCCATGCGGCGGCGATTGCATGCACGCGCGCGCGCATGCACATACACATTGGCGGCGCGACCGACGCAGCCGCGGTGGCGCTGACTGCTGGGCACATCCCAGCGGGCACTTCAGTGCGAGCCTGCGACTTGGACAGGCGCGGTATCATGACAACGTCGACAACGGTAGACACGGTGATGATAGTAGCGATGCTGGCGACGATGCTGAAAGCGACGACCACGGCCAATGACGGCGCAGATGCTGATCACGTCGGCCGACGCGCGAGACTGGCCCGCGTGGCATCATTTGACGCGGATCGCGCCCCCCCCCCCCCCCCCCCCCCCCCAACACCACGCGCGCAAGGGCGCGCAAATGATGTCGGCATGCGGCGCGAAAGGTCCGTTTGCCCGAATTCCGTGCACATATTTTTAATATAAAAAAAAAAAAAAACAAAAAAAAACACACACAAAAAAAAAAAAACGATGGTTCCTTCAAGAATTCGGAAGATGGCGCGCGCGCTTTTTTGAAAACTGATGTTGCGAAACCAAATGTTTTTATATGTGTTTTGACAGCCGATTTTGAAATGGTTCCAGAACCGACGGTTTTGAAGGATTTTGGCATGCGGGCGCGACGACGCGCGCGCGTGCACTTCTTCCCGTTCCCAAGCAGATTTCTGGAAACTTATGGTTTTTGGTAGATGAGTGCGCGCGCATAATATGCTTTGCAAAGGATGGCGGGGGCGGGGGGTCGATACTGGTTGACCAAGGATGGTACGAATTCATATTTAAGATGGACGACGGGGCAGCATCATATTATATACCAATGGCAATGCGGAAGCAGGGAATTGAGAATCCCGGGGGTAGAGTCTATTCTTAGAAAGGAGAATATATATATATATACATATAGGTGTGTGTGTGTATATATACATATATATAGATATATTGCGCAATCTGCGTTGCGCAGTCTACTAGGCGGCGACGGAGCGGCGACGGCGACGACATAGCCGCCAGGCCGGCAGACAGTCCCAAACGACAGGCGGCGACGAGGCGGCGACGGGGCGGCGACGGGACATGACCGCCAGAGCGGCAGACAAGCCCAGACAATGGGCGGCAACGAGGCGGCGACGGGGCGGCGACGGCGACTACATGGCTGGCGGAGCGGCAAACAGTCCCAGTTCCACAAAAAATAACCCCTGAGTGTTTTTTAGTACATATATATACACACACACCCATATATGTATGTATGTATGTATGTATGTATGTATGTATGTATGTATGTACGTGTGTACATATCGTAGATCTGCCAGCCTGGACCTCAAACAATAGGTTTCTGCACCCTCGATGTGCAATATGTGCGGTGAAATCCCTGTGTGCTGCAGCATGCAATGTGCGGTGCGCTCGGCGGAGTCGACCTGCAAGCGCAGTCTTGCATGCTGTTTGGTGTAATCTCTGTGGCGCACCTGCCCCTGCCCCCCTCCCTATCTCTGAGGGGGGGGGTGGGGTTCACTTCGCTCGGGAGCTCCCGAACGAAGTGACCCCCCCCCTCCCCCTCAGAAATCGCGTGGGGGGGTAGGCCCCCTAGCCTGGCAATCCCCAAGCATTGGAGCCCCCAGCCAGCGCACGAAGCGTGGCCCCCTAGCCTTGCAGTCCCCCTGGCGCGAGGCGTGGCCTCCTAGAAATAATTTCGCACGTGGCCCCCTGACCTTGCAGCCCCCCTGGCACGAGGCGCGGCCCCTGGAAATGGGTTCGCGCGTGGCCCCCTGGCCTTGCAATCCCCCTGGCACGAGGCGCGGCACCCTAAAAATGAGTTCGCACGTGGCCCCCTAGCCTTGCATTCCCCCCAGCACGAGGCGCGGCCCCCTAGAAACAAGTTCGCACGTGGCCCCCGAGCCTTGCAACCCCCGGCCAGCGCGCGAGGCGGCCGCGAGGCCGCCGCGGGCAGGCACCGGACACCCCCGCCGGCGCATGGGGCGGCCGCGGGCGGGCGCCGGACCCCGCCAGCGCACGCGGCGGCCACGGGCGGGCACTGGGCGAAAGCCTGGAGAATCCAGGCAACGCGCGAGGCGGCCACGCACCAGGCGAGCACGCGATAAGCTCGGCCAACTCTTCGAGGAAGAAACTCGCCGGCCCAGCGGGCCAGAGGCGTGCTCGAATCTCGGGCGCGCGTTTCAGAATGTTGTTTCTAGGTCGCGCGCGTGTGGCGGCCCCTAAATGTTATTATAACGCTCTCTTATACTGCTTGTTCCCCCCCTCGTGCCTTCCTCTCTCGCCCTTCCTCGCCCTCGTCCTTTATCCCCCCTCGGCTCTGCTGTCCTCGAGATTTCGGCTCCAAGCTCTTGGGGCCCCAGGGGCCTTTCTGCGGAGCCGTTCCCTTTTTGACAGATTGCACGTGTCGGGCGTCGCCCGACGGCCTGGCCATCCCGCGCGGGGGGGGGCCGCGATTTTGCCACCGCGAGAGCTTGGCGGCACCTCGGGGCCCGCGCGGTCGGCTGGATCGTGCCCGACCTTGCCGACGAGGGCCGCCCGCTCATCTGGGGGGCCGAGGCCGACGAGCAGTCCGCGCCGCGCGGCGGCGACTACGAGGACGCGGATGAGATCATCATCCCGGGGGCCAAGGCGGCGGTCGCCATGGCGCCGCGGGCGCGGTGGAACAGGATCTACCTGAAGACGGGCAGCAACTCTGGCAGCGTGATGCTGCTCATCAGCAAAGTGGGGAGGTCGAACGGCACGGCCTGGACATGCGCGGACCCGACGCTGCGCGCCCAGATCGTGAACGTCCGCGACAAGGACCGAGTCTTCACGACGGATAACCCTGGGCTGAGCGCGGCCTCGAGGGGCCTCGCGATGGCGGCCTCGAAGAAGCTCGTCGCGAGGCGCGAGCTCGAGGCCGATGGGGGGCGCCCACAAGGCCCCTTCCAAAGGGAGAGCCGCCGCCGAAGGGCAAGAAGGCAGGCGAGAAGGATCACTTCGCGTCGTGGGTCATCGGGGGCGTCTTCAACACGGTGAGCTTCATGTGGTTGCGCCGCTCTGGGGGGCTCTGCGCGCCGGCCGCCTTCTTGGGCTGGCGCGCCTGGCGCGTGCTCGGTTTGGGTTCCGCGCTCAAGTCGGCCCACGACACGATCCTCTTCGCGGGCGAGGCGGCCCAAGAAGCTAGACACTAGTACGAGATGGCCGAGGAGATGTGGGAGAGTGGGGAGCTCGGGACGCTCGTCACCGCCGTCGGCTGCGTGCTGGCGGGTGCCTACGCGCTGCGCTGGGTGTTCGGGGGTGGCCGCAGGTTCTGGTCGGGCGACTCGGACTCAGAGAGCGAGGCCTCCGACGCGGAGTTTGTGACGGGGACGCAGGTGCCAGACTCGGACGACGAACCTGACGCGAGGCACCTCTACGCGGAGCTCGCGATGGGGCAGTCCGCCCACCAGGTCAGCGTCGCCTCCCTCGCCGAGGCGGCGGCCGGGGCGGCGGCGCCCCCGTCGGCTGAGCCGACGACGCCAAGGTGGTCGGGCAGGCACCTCCACTTCGAGAGCGACGGCGATGAGCAGCCCCCCGAGAAGCCCACGGACACGCAGGTGGACGCCCTCCTGAAGAAGCTGCAGGAGCACGAGCGCGTCGACGCCGAGGACTCGGGGCGCGCCACCAGGGGAAGCGCGCCCACCTCTGCCTCTTCGACGCCTACGAGCTGGGACAAGGTCTCGGCGGGATCCCCAGGGGTGCGCGACACCGTGGCACAGCTGGAGATCGAGTCACGCAACCCCAAGGACGGCCTCCTCGCCACCTTGAAATCGTACCGCGAGGTGGACGGAGGCCGTGTGGGATGTGTGCAAGCTCGGGTTGCGCCGAGCGTCCTCGCGCGCCTCTACTGGTCGGGTCGCGGGGCTCGGGCGGAACTCGACGACTGGATCAAGCAGAAGGAGCTCACAAAGTGCTCGATCGCCTCAGAGGTGTACATGATTGGCGCGGTTTTGGACAAGATGATGGCGGCGGGCGAGTTTGTCAACTCGCAAGCCACCGAGATCACCTGCCTGCGGCTGTACTCGATCTTCAAGGCCTACGAACTGGTGGAGCAGGAGTCCGACTGGCGACGCCCCAAGTCTGCCAACGGAGGGAAGTGGAAGTCCAAGGTCAACTGGGCCTACGCTGAGGAGTTCTTGGACCTGGGCAACCAGGACACCCCTGGAGTTGGGGCTGCAGACGATGAGGTGGCGGAGCGTCTCAAGCGCAAGGCCGCGATCACCAAGCACCTCGGCGGACTCGGCGAGGGCAGCGGTCGTGGCCATGCGGGCGAATCGGTTGCGGCAAGAGGTTATGCGGCTACCTCTTGCCAAGCCAGCACCAAGTGAATGCATAAGTCCGCGTAGCTTGATCGTCCAGTGGCTCGGGTGGTCTTCGGCGGCTACGAAGGGTTGGGACTGTAGCGCTGTTGGTCGAAGCTCGGCACGTGTGATCGGTTGCGTCCCAGTGGTTTTGCTCCACTTGTATATCGGGCCGCAGCTGTGCCAGACTGAGGGCATCTCATCGCGGACTGCATGCCCGAGTGCTTCCCGATGGCTGGAGCTCCCTCAGGGGGGCGTCAACGGGATCCCCTGCGCGATCTACCGACGCCCCCCTACTCGGCGATGGCGGGGAGGGACCCTCGGCTGACGGAGAAGGGGTGGAGGCTGACGTGGAGGAGACTTGCAAGAGCGACGGCGGCCATGCGGTCTTTGGCTCGAGTGCACTGCAAGGTAGTGGACGAGCTGAGGCGCAAGGAGCCGCTTTCGACTTGGGCGAGTGCGACCCCGACGCAGAGAACGATCATCAACGAGCTCTGGCCGAAGTCGGTGCAGCGAGCCGGCCGGGGAAGCATGGGCGATGGCAGGGCGGTTCTCGGCCGCCCGGGCATGGGCAAGATGGTGGGCTACGGAGGTGTCGGACGGACGGCACGGGCAACTGGACAACTGAAGAAGGGCGACCTGCGCGACCTAGTGGCGGAGCAGGTGCCTGTCCCAAAGCGTGGGGCCACGGGCATGCCGATGTCGAAACTGTCGGCGGGAGCGACCCCCTACCTCGAGAACTCGACGGGCCTCGCGCCGAGGGCGGGCGACGAGATCGACCGGGACAGGTGCCACCAGACGCGGAGCTACTGCGACCCAGGTTGGAAGCACAAGAGGAACCGCCTGGAGCTGAGCCTGCGCATGTGGGAAAGGGGATGCTGACGTACGTGGCCAATATCGAGGGGCGCGTGGGCGTGTTCACGGTCGTGAAGAGCCTGAGCAAGGACGACGAGTGTCAGGTGGTGTCATCGCGACTCGTCTGGGACTGCAGACGTCTCAACTTGAAGTTTCGGAAGCCACCTTGGACGGGCCAGGATCTCCGAGTGCGCTGGGTTCATTGGATTTGTCTCCCGGCGTTCTAGGCACGCAGGAACTCTTCTCGTTCGCGGGGGACATTCCAGATTGGTTTTACAGGCTGAGATGGGACGAGAAGATAGCGGAGTATTGTGTGTTGGGGGATCTCTCCCCAGTGGAGCTGTGGAAATATTCTTGCGAAGTGGGGGGGCCGATCCAGGAGCCCTCGCCGACGAGCGTGGGTGTTGGAGCCATCGCTCCCGTGATGGGTCATTCTTGGGCTGTGTGTTCTTGGCCCGCCCCCGCCTCGCCGAGAGCCTCAGAGACGCGCAGGGCTACGAGATAGAGGAGCTAGCGCACGGTCGGCCGACGCCGTCCTTCGAGAGAGCTTCTCTGATCCTCATGCTCTACATCGACGACACTCGACGACTGCATCGGCTTCAGGATCTTGGAGTCGGGGGGCGGGGACACTCAGATAGACAAGGGCATCGCGAAGGGCTCGCTGGAGGCGAAGGGGCTGCAGGTGCACAAAGAGGACTGGGGGCACGGGATGACGAAGGGACTGGGTTTGACCATCCGCGGCCGCCCGTGCACCGCCATGACGCAGCCCGAGAAGATGAAGGAGCTAGCTCTGGCGACGGAGGCCGTCGTGATAGCTGGGGGCACCGCGCCATCACGTCTGTCTTCTTTGTTGGGGATGTGGACTTGGTCTCTTATGATATCTCGATCTGGCTTCGCAATACCCAACTCGATCTACCAGTGGGCCCAGAGCCACATGACCGAGGAGTCGGAGGAAAACTTGAAGATACCCCAGGACGTCGCGTCGGAGCTGATGGCCCTCTCGAGCCTTTCGGTCTACTTTGCCCCCAACCTCGAGGCCGGCTGGCACCCCGAGGCCTTCGTGACAGACGCGTCCGAGGGGGGCTACGACATCGCGCAGACGGAGGCTACCTCGGGCGAGTGTCGTCGGGAGGTGAGCAAGGGGGGCCACCAGGTCTGGGCAGTGAGGACCGAGGAGGCTTTTGGGGAGATCGAGGAGGAAGTCGAGATGGCGGGTCAAGAGGACGACGAGGTAGTCCGACCACCTGCGGGGATACCAGGCTTCCTCGAGCTCTACTCAGGCGTCGAGACGCTTACGGACGACGCGAGGGCGTTGAAGGGTATTTGGCGCGACGCCTCGGACATTTTGCGTGGCCCCAACTGCGCGCTGATGGCCCCGACCGAACTCGAGCGGCTCTTCGGGCGCGTCAGGAGGCGCTGGTGGTGGATAGCCAGCCTGCATCCCAACAAGAACGTCATCACGAACCACGTGGCGCTGGAGGTGGCGAAGCTGACGCGCAAGGAGGGGCCCCTCTTCACGGTGCTCGTGCGGCACGCGAGGTTCATCGACGAGGTCTGGTCCGATCTTTTGGAGCTGGACGGGGTCTACGGCTACACCTGCAGCAACTCACACTGGGAAAGGGGCTGCTAGTGACGAACGACGAGCGGTTCTCGAGGCTCAGCAGCGAAGGGGCCTGGGACCTCTTCGCACACAGTGGAGACGGACTTCAGTTACGGAGCTGTTTGGCGGCAAGTGCACTGCGAGATAGCGACGGAGATCTCGCCCGACTGGCGCAGAGTCACCGCGGGGGCGCGGGGGGGGGGGGGGGATCGAGCGGGGCCAGCTGAAGATCGCGCGCGCGAGGGAGCAGGCGCTGCCCGCTTGCGCTTCGCGGACGACTGTTTCGAGATGGGCCTTGCTCTTCCGAAGGAAGTGGGCGAAGGAGGAGCGCAACCACATCCTCGAGCTGCGCGCGATCGTTGCATTGCTACATCACCTTTCCCGATCACGGCCTTGCTGGGGCAAGAGGCCGCTGGCGTTCTCGGACTCTTTGGTATCCATGGGAGTCTTGGCGAAGGGGCGTTCATCAGCGGCTGGCTGACTGCATCTGGCGAGACAGGCTGCGGCGGTTGTGCTCGTCTGTGGCATCAAGCTGCACCTGAGATGGGTCGCCTCGGAGGACAACGTGGCCGATGGACCGAGTCGGGGACTGGGCATCGGAGCAGCGGAGGCGACGAAGGAGGAGCACAAATGGCGGTGCACCCCGAAGGCGCTGAGGACGACGCTCGGGAAGATCTGATCGGGACGTGCATTGCGGGGTCCCGTGGTGATGGCGGTGACGTTTCTTGGGTGAAGCCTGACGCATGGGACGGGTCCGAGGAGTGGGTCTTCGTGTATCACTCCCCTCGGGGCACGGCGGCGAGGTCACGGCCTTCTTGGGCCCTCCTGTGTCTCTTCGGTTTAGTGCACTCCGTCGGGGCGGTCCGTCCGTCATCGAGGCCACCGCCACTGAAGACTAGAGGCGCGTTGGCCTGGACGAACGCACCCAACGACAAGCTGGAGTTTAACAACAAATTGGCGATCCACGCGGTCGACGACAAGACCCACCTCGCGTACGAGAAGGCCGTCAGGGAGTTCCGCATCGATACCAAGCGCTTGGGTGTCCCCTTCGAGACGGTGCACCAGCGTGACAAGGCTCTAGCAGCATACCTGGCGGATCAGTGTTACGTACGCGGACTTGGATATGGAAGCGGCAGCGTGACTTTCAATGGCTTCATGCACATCTTTGAGGATCATCGCAATTTCTTGCCGCTCTCCGCGACGGCTCTCAAGACGTGGGAGCGGCAGCAGCAGGTGCAGGAGGGGCAGCCCATCCCGCTCCAGGGGGTTGCCCTGATCGTGGCGGACTTGTGCAAGCACGGGTTGCCCCTCGAGGCCTGCGCCGTCGTCGTCCAGCTCGACGGGTGGCTGGGAGAGCAGGACTGGGCAGGCCTCAGGAGGCGCGACGTGAGCATCGACAAGTCTCGCCGCATGGCGCTGCTCCTGGGAGACCGTTCCACGGGCGAGAAGGTCAAGACGGGCTCGGGCCAGGGCGTCGAGCTGACGACCGAGCTCGCGAAGGGGATTGTGAAGTGCCTGATCAACGGCCTGGGCCCCGACGACCTCGTGTTCCCCGTCACGCCAGACAAGTACAGGAAGGAATGGAACGCCAGCCTCAGAAGGCTGGGGTTGGAGGAGTTCGGCCCCCCGCACGGCCTCCGGCACGCGGGGGCTGCGCACTTCGTGGCGAACGGGGGGGACCTGGAGGTCGCGAGGAGGAGGGGCCGCTGGAACACATCCAGCGCGCTCCAGAACTACACCAAGACGCACGTCCTCATCCAGAGGCGTGCTATCATGACCGACAGCGACATTCGTGAAGGTGAGCAGTTCTGGCAGGCTCCAGGCATGGCCATGGCCGACGCGCTGGAGAGGTCCAAGGTGGTGCGTAGGCCACTTGCTGCTCGCCTTTCCCGCGCCCTGCGGGCATTGAGGGGCGGCTCGATGTCGCTCGGCTGCGCCGCTGCTGAGCCAAGGCCCAAAGTGGCCAGGCCCAGGACGGGCATCAAAGCAACAATTAGAAGGCGCAGTTCGTGGCTCCCCATTACTTCGACTGAGAGTGAATGAGTATTGGTTTTGGTGGGATCCCAAAGAATGTGCCTAAGCTGGGGGGGTCATGATCAGATACCCTGCTCCTTCGCCCCTCCCTCCCGCCCACCCTTTGTGCTACGTGCTGCGATGTGCAATATTTAGGGCCTTCGGCCAGGAAGGGCTGGTTGGCCTGTGTGGGGTGTTTCCGCACGTGGACTCTCTGGGCCTGGAGGGTCACCTGGGATGCCAGGTCATGTACCGATTTTGGGAGGCCCATTTCGGGCTCGTGCTGGTCCCGCGCGGGGACGTTCGAACATACTTTGGGGCTTACGGCCCCACGCTCGCTCTCGTCTGGATTCGCCTCTCGTACCGCTGCTGTGTCAGATATTCCTGTTGTTGGTCTGTATTCTTGCAAGCCTGACGGTGCATGCGTACGCCGCCTAACCCCCCTTCAGCTCTGGCACGTGGGATCCCGTGAACAGCATAGTTTAAATGGGGGTCCCCGGACGAAAAGTACCCTGGCAAGGTCCGTGACCTGGATGCCAGAACTCCTGGGCGTGGCCCTGGGGGCCACAGGACGTCCCAAGGAGGCGCCCAATAGGTGGCAGGCCCCACGGCCTTAGGTTAAGAGCGTTCCAAGATGGCCTGAGGTGGTCTCAAGACGGCCCAAGAGGCGCCCAAGACGTCCCATGAGGGCTCCAAGACGACCCCAAGAGGGCCCGATGAGGCAAAACTCATCAATTTCGCTCGGGTGTTTGAAAGATCTTGGCGCTACCGCCTTTGACGCTTCCAACCGCCCAGGACGGCCCAAGAGGCCTCCAATATTGCCTCAGGTCAGCCCAAGAGCCTCCCAAGACGGCCCAAGAGGGCACCAAGACGGCCAAAGAGGCCTCCCCAGAGGGCTCCAGAGACTCTCATGAGGGCCTCAAGAGGGGGGACCCGAACAGACATCTCAAGCCTTCCCCGAGACGTGGCCCCCCATACAGCCAGCAGGCCTCCAAGAAACCCTCAAGAGGCCCCCAGAAGCCCAATAGGATGTCTCACGGGGCTCTCAAGAGGCCCCAGGAGGTCCCAAAAATGCCGCCAAGAGGCCCCAGAGTGGTCTCTCCAGAGATTCCAAGAAGCCTTCCAAATGTGTCTTGTCCGCGACCCAGTTTGATCCAGTTTGGTCCCCACAGCGCCCCAAGAAGCCGTCGAGAGGCATCCTCCTCGTCCTCCCCTATCGAATCCCTGATCCTCCTTCTCGCCAGCCATGGACACACCAACACACACATGTGTATATATAATGTGTACATATATATAGATATGTATATATACACATACATTTACATATTATACATATATATACACATTTATTTCTAACTATATATATGTATACATCAACAATGGTGCAATAGGAGCCAGCGGAACGAGCGAACTGATTAATAAGACCTCCGTGGTGCAAGCACTGCCTGAGGAATTGGCCGTGGCCGCGTGGCCCCGCAACATGCGCGCGCTGGAGAGAAACACGCGAGCTATCCTTGAACCCGAACAGCTGGATGCAGTTGTGGTCGTGCACCTTGTACATTTGCGCCAACTTCTTCGCCAAATCCGCCTTGGAGACGTTGGCCATGCTGGGGTGGATAATGTCGAGGACGAACTGCCCCGCCTCCTACTCTTTTATCCTCCTATCCCCCTATCCTCCCCCTTCCTCCTCCCCCTCCTCGTCCTCATCCCCCTCCCTGCTGATCCGCGGCCCGGGCACCAGCCCCGTTCTTAGTCTGGCGGCTATCAAGGAAGCCTCCTTGTCCTTCTCCTCCTCCCCCTTGTTCCCCGCTCCTCCTCATCCTCCTCATTGTCCTGATCCTCGTCGTCCTCCTCCGCCGCCTCCTGTCTTCCTCATCTCTGTCCTCGTCATCTTCCAGCTTCGCTGCGCCACCAATGTCGCACCGTCCACTCGCGGCTGCTGAAGACCTGCACAGACTGACACCGCACGAATCGGCGTCAAGGGTCCCTGCACAGGCCCACTCGAACATCTCGAGTCCCGACGGCGCTACGCAACGCAGCAAGTTCACTTTGAGCCGACGTGGTACCCACTGCTGCCGCGGCAACGACATGGCGCGATGAGGGGATTTTGTTTTGCACTGTATCAACAGGGGGAAGGGGGAGGGGAAAGGGACAAGGAGACGGAACGGGGAGATTCTGAGAGATCTGGCCGAGAAATCGTGCTCTGGACCTGGGAGCGAGGGACCATGCCTCGAACGACATTCGCGCTGCCTGCCCTGTGCCATTCTGGGGGGTGCATCGGAACGGACCTCCGCATGCTTCGGGTACCGAGCGCAGCCCAGAGCTACGTCGGCTGCAACGTGCCGCCGCGGCTCCCTCTCCAGACGACGCTGCGACATGCGAGCAGGGAGCGCACGTGACACCCGCGCGGCGTGCCCCGAGGAAGCGCACGTGGCGCCTGCGTGGCGCACGCGGCGCCTGCGCGCTCGCACGGCGGGCAAAGGGGAAGGAGAGGGCCGGCGCCGCGGTGGCCTTCCTGCCTGCTACCTCGCGGCGGCACCGCGAGGTGCCCTCCTGCCCCCTTGCGGCCGCGGGCTTGGCCCCCCTCACCGCCGCCGCGGGCGCGGCGCCCGCCGGGGGCCGCCGGCCGCGGCTGGCACGTCGGGCGAGGGCGCCGCCGCCGCGGCTCGGCCCCCAGGGTGCAACTCACAGCCCAGAGCCTGCCTACCTAGAGCCTACTTACGACAGATGGCCCCAAGAGGCCGTGCGTGACATGTAAAGGATCAGACTCCGCAGGAGCCTCTTTTATGTACACCTGCGTTTCCCGGCGAATCGGGCCCCTTTAAGCCTCCAGGTTTCAGCTAGCCTTGCTGAGTAGGCCCTCCGAGATCCCCATTATAATACCCCAGAACAGGTTCATCCGAAACCGTTCTGGCTCAAGCTTTACAGCGTCACAGCGACGCTGGACTGACTGGTGTGCGTCTGAGAGACGCAGAACAGCGAACTGCCCGCTGACACATATCCTGTTCATCACCATCGTGCGATCATAATCGCACCGCCACTGCCCCCAGATTCCCCACGTCTGACGACGCCTACAACGACCCCTGGCACATCATTGAGAGAGAAAGGAGATTTGTATTCTGGATTGGTATCAGGGCAGCGGTCTACAAGCGGGACAATTGCATGGTAGCGGAGCATACGCTCCACGGACTACAGATTCACAGATTAATACGTTCCACAAGCCATGGCCAAGAATAACGGAGACGATCTCGTACCGAAGTGGAACGTGAAGGCCTACATACGAGGGACCCGTCGAGACGAACGATATGTGTGCGGCCCACGATGATGGAGACGACTTGAAGGCCGCGCGAGACAAGCAGCAAAGGATGTCGACTGGGACCGCATCGAGAAGGACGACGGAGCTACCGAGTTGCTCCGACATGTGAGATCGAAGCTCGGAGCTCAACCCATCCAGGATGCAGCGAGTATTTGGCGAGATGGATCTTCGATCTACGACGGGACACTGGAGAACCGATGCCGAGCTACACCAGCCGAGACGATGAAGCCTACCACGATGTAGTCAAAGGGTTCGACACCGAGTATTTCAAGAAGCAGCGCACCGCCCGACTCTCGGAGAGAGCTAAGGAGTGGAACAACCTCTACGGTGAGCTCACCTGGTTCCTGTACAAGATCGAGCAGGAGGGCCCAGAGGACGCTGCTGAGAAGGCCAGGGAGCTGAACCACTCGCTCTGGAGCTTCGTCAAGACTGGCCTTGAGGAGATCCCAGAGCACCCCGACCTCGGGACGGACTTCAACCAGGCGATCCCCTTAGACCAGCTACGTGGATGGCTACTGCTGCAGCGATCGAGACTTACACCGACGGAGCGTGCAGCAGTCATCAGCGCAGTCAAGGGCAACTTCGACTACGACAGTATCGGAGAGCAGCTACGAGTTTCCTGGCCAGACAATGAGCTGACCAATCGGGACAAGAAGCAAGGCAAGGACTATCGTCACCGAGATCGTGGACGGATTCATGCCGGCTGGGAGGCGAATAGCGAAGAGGACGACGACTACAGCTATTACGAAGAACACGAGTCGGAGGCTTCCTACGACGGCCAGGGCGACGACGAGGATGAAGAGAACCCCGAGGAGCCGCTCTACAGTGCCCAGGAGATCGAGGAAGCAGAGACCGCTTTCGCCGCCCAGCAGAAAGCTTCGAGGAAGCCCGAGATCTACGACGAGTGAAGACCGCCAGGAAATTCTACCCTGTGGATGAGAACAAGAAGCGAGAAAACCGAAGTGGGCATCGCAAACCGCAAGGGCCCCGGGCTGGATCCCGAGGCTCAGGGTCATCCAAGGGACGAGGCCGAGGGAGTGGACAGCGACGTGATGGACCACCCCGCCGAGAAGCAGATCGCTCCCAAGGTCGGCCTCCCAGGAAAGGACCATGTCTGAAGTGCGGCGGTAACCACGAGACCAAGGATCATCGAGATCGAGAACGCGCATCTTCTACTGGAAGT